GAATAAATCTTTAGACATTTTTAAAAGACAAACGCCCGCACACTCTTCTTTATTTACATCGATTTTCATTTTTCAGTTTTTGGCCTTATATCGATATTCATTCAGAAACTTTTGCAAATTCAGGAAAATGTTTTGAAATATTTTATGTAAACATTGACCTTCTTAGTGTTTTGAAGGTCAAATATACCAAATTTCATCAAGATCGAAATGAAACTGAAGATTTGTATTAAAGGCAAACGCACGTACATTCCTCTTTACTTATTTAGATTTCCTTTTCTATTTTTTTTTTTTTTTTTTTTTTTTTTTTTTTTTTTTTGGCCTTACATAGATTTTCGCTCATAAACATTTTTTAACTCAGGACAAGTAATAAAACTATTGGCCCGATGTGTAAGTTTTAAGTATGGATAACGCTGAACAATGCTATTTATTCCATTTAAACATTAGATTTGCAAATGAATGCTTTATTTAACATAAAAATTGTCATGTATATTGTAATTTTTAGTAAGATCCTTTACTTCAAATTCGTTCTAGCTCTCCAATGCTAGGTTTTAATCATCCTTAATAAATATACCAAATTTCATCAAGATCGAAATGCAACTGAAGATTTGTATTAAAGGCAAACGCACGTACATTCCTCTTTATTTATTTAGATTTCCGTTTCTATTTTTTTTGGCCTTACATAGATTTTCGTTCATAAACATTTTTTTAACTCAGGACAAGTAATAAAATCTATTTAAACATCCATTTAACATCCATTTAAACATTAGATTTGCAAATGAATGCTTTATTTAACATAAAAATTGTCATGTATATTGTAAATTTTAGTAAGATCCTTTACTTCAAATCCGTTCTAGCTCTCCAATGCTAGGTTTTAATCATCCTTAATAAATATACCAAATTTCATCAAGATCGAAATGAAACTGAAGATTTGTATTAAAGGCAAACGCACGTACATTCCTCTTTATTTATTTAGATTTCCGTTTCTATTTTTTTTTTTTTTTTTTGGCCGACATAGATTTTCGTTCTAAAATTTTTTAACTCGGCAAGTAATAAAATCTAATTTAAAAATCAGTAACATCCATTAACATTAGATTGCAAATGAATGCTTTATTTAACATAAAACTTGTCATGTATATTGTAAATTTGGAAGATCCTTACTCAAAATCGTTCTAGCTCTCATGCTAGTTTTAATCTCCTTAATAAAATACCAAATTTCATCAAGATCGAAATGAAACTGAGATTTGCATAAGGCAACGACGTAATTCCTCTTTATTTATTTAGATTTCCTTTTTCTATTTTTTTTTTTTTTTTTTTTTGGCCTTACATAGATTTTGTTCATAACATTTTTTAACCAGGACAAGTAATAAAATCTATTTAAACATCCATTTAAAAGCATTTAACATTAGATTGCAAAGGAAGGCTTTATTTAAACAAAAAAGTGTATGTATATTGAATTTTGGTAAGATCCTTTACTCAAATTAGTTCTAGCTCTTCAATGCTAGGTTTAATCACCTTAATAAATATACAAATTCATCAGATCGAATGAAATGAAGATTTGTATTAAAGGCAAACAGTAATTCTCTTATTTTTTAGATTTTTTCTATTTGTTTTTGCCGTACATAGATTTTCGCTCTAAACATTTTTTAACTCAGGACAAGTATAAATCTATGGCACGATGTGTAAATTTAAGTATAAAACGTCTGAACAATGCTATTTATTCCATTTAAACATTAGATTTGCAAATGAATGCTTAATTTAACATAAAAATTGTCATGTATATTGTAATTTTTAGTAAGATCCGTTATTTCTAATCCGTTCTAGCTCTCCAATGCCACGTTTTAATCATCCTTAATAATCTAATCCTCTACTTCAGATACTAACAATTCTTCAAAAAGTACAATATGTCTAGCTAAAGATACTTCATGCAGTGTTCGTTATGACCATCGACGAGTTATCGCTCTAACTCCCATAAGCAGAGATTTAAAATTTAACATAATTATATTACATATTTTTATTCACTTTTTTGTGTTACAAGTAACGGTAGAATTTGTAAGTCAAAAGGTTAGTTAACTTCTCAGCAATAATGTTAAGAATCCGATAACTTGCCTCGAAGTAATACAATTACTTAAAAAAAAAAGTCCACTCAAGCAAGACCTCATCGTTCTCCTCAACTAATCATTTCAAAGTCACTTGCTTAGAGAAGAGAGGAATAAAAAAAAAAGGAAAAAAAGGCTTAAACCCTGAAGCTTTCGAAAAATACAGACTGGAGGGGAAATTCCTTCATGGTAGTGCAAAGATTTTCATCCCGTTAAGGCTTTCTTTTCTTTTTTCCCTTCAAGTTCACTTTCGCATAATTTTAATTTTCGCCCTCTTATAGCCTGAGGGCATGTGACACAGGAAAAACAGAATGTTGTTTGATTTGATTATGCATAACTGTGAAATTTAAATATGATTATAAAAAATTAAGTATTTGACCATAAGGATAAAGATTACCCTTATGGTCAAATTATATTTGATAGTTATGGTCAAATTACATTTAAACATAACTATCCTTATTTATCAAAGGATAAAGATTATCCTTATGCTCTAATATTTAATTTGTGCGAAGCAGTAGGTTATTAGAGGTAATTGCTTATTTATTCCAAAATTAAAATAGAAAAAAAAAACAATATCTACACCTCAGCACATGATTCCGAGCTTCATAAACCTTCTCATAATTCTTCAATACACCAAGCATACTGAGCTGAGCCAAACGCCTACAGATACTACAGTCTTACTTATAATAATCATCCTTACATAATAAAAACCAGACATAATTTCTATTTACGTTTAAATTTCAAAACTACAGTATTAACTCCAGTGTTTCTAAAGAGAAAGAGCATACAGTCAATTTAAATCTTCACATAAAATTTTTACCCCCCTCCCGATCCCTTTACATTAGTCACACGCATCACTAATACTATCCAAAATTTCCGAGCCTCGTGAGATTTCATGGGGATCACAAACTATACCTGGTTACTGTATAGGAGCAATACCTGTTCGATTCTGTAGTAAAATTTCTGGTGTCTCATGCACTTTGACCTGGTTACTTGTTAACTAAAGCCGTACGCAAGAGAGCAGTGAAAATGGATATCTTCGTTGAAATACATCCCCGAAATGCTTCACGATTACAATACATTCTTTACGTCGTAGAAGGAAGCAAAATGGTATATTACTGTTGCGTTTTAAGGTCCGTCGCTTTGGAGTAATTGACGATAACACTTGATCCGAACACAATTTATTCACCACTATTACGCAGAAGAGTTCCAAAGACGCATTTATAGTCGTCGAACATCTACGATAAACACGCTGAAATATCACAGCTTTCAGGCAACAACGGTAAAGGCGGCTTCATGGCAGAGCACTAAAGCATAGTTCCTGACTTGGTTCGGTTGCTCTCAAGATCACCCCTGAACTCAAGTCATTGTAATACGCTACTGAATTCAAGATATTCCTTTCTCCCAGGATAGACAGGGCATATATAGCTTTAATTTACACTTCAAGAACATTTCTGAAGAAAACCACTAAGCAAACATTCTAGATTGTTCTGGCTCCATCTATGGCATATCGCAAATTTTGACGCGATTTGGGTGATTTCCCGCTAAATCTGGCAACCCTGTCTTTCCCTGCCACTTTCTGACAACCCTAATCCCGCTTCGCGGAGAAACTATCTCACCGCAACTGGGCTTTTCGCAACATAACTTATATTTGAGTATTTTCATTTCTCTCTTCTTGGATTTTTTTAAGGGGCAATGCACGAATAATCCAAAACATTTATAATCCGCAAAAGGATATTTTATACCGGATTGTTAGGAATTAAAAGTAAGACTGCATCAATAATAACAATATCATAAATAAAAAATCAGTATCAATACATTAATATTATCAGTACAATACATCAATATTCTCAGTTACATCAATATTATCAGAATCATCATCAATGATATTAATTATCTTTCTTTAGTACTCTGATAAAAACAAATAAGGTTTGACCGTAAAATTTGAAGCATAAAATATTTCCTTCAGTATCGTTTTAAACTTGAAAAACTGATTGAAATATAGTTACTTTCTTTGAAGCTTTCAGATTTTTGATATAAAATTGAAAAAACTCGAGCAAGCAACTACGGGAGTGAAATGCATTAGTTTTAGAATGAGTTGCTCGTTGAAATGCAGTGCGGTGTAAATCTAGTTGTATCAAGACGATGAAGCACTAGATATTAGCAACGAGCAAGCTAGAAATAAAACGTTTAGCTAAAGTAGGACAAAAACATAACTTGATAAGTTGATAGTAATAAAAGTTTCGATACTTGTCCCTCAGTACCTCGCCTGTGCGCGGGTGCTTAGAACCGCTGAAGACTGGTAGCTCCCCCAGGGTCAAAGGATTAGCTGTATGATTAGTTCCATGTCTAACATGAATATGAGTCAGTTTCCCTTAGAAAGTCCCCACTTCGTAGGTAGATAGTCCCCGTGCACTTTGCTCATTCAAGTGAACTTGTAGAGACATTAGGTTTTAAGATATTTCTCTCGCCTTCCTAGCGTGCCTTCGTGGCGTAGTGGTTCTGCACGCTGAACTGGTGTTCCAGAAGTCCGTGGTTCGATTCCCGGCGAAGGCGGTTGCTATTTTTCATCTTTCCTGACTCCAAAAATATATACCTAATATCTCTACAGTGGCGCCCGAACTAAGAGGGTTGTGGATGATGATTCTCCGCACCAGATTTAGCGATTGTGTCCCCTAAAAACCCCAGTCGCTCTTTAAACGGGGGAGCATATAAGGTATTTCTCCCGCCGTCCTAGCGCACCTTCGTGATGTAGAGGTTCTGCATGCTGGGCTGGTATTCCAGAGGTTCGTGGTTCTATTCCCGGCGAAGGCGTTTGCTATTTTTTACCTTTTCTGCTTCCAAAAATGTGTGCCTAATGTCTAAAAGGTGTTTTTTTAAGCAGGAGAGATGAAAAATGATCAACGCCCCCGCCGGGAGTCGAACCACGGACCTCTGGAATAAGCGCCCAGTGTGCTGACCACTGCACTACGAAGGCATGCTAACAAGGTGGGAGAAAAATTTATAAACTAAACTGATTCTCAAAATTTTCTTCGTTAAAAGCATAATGAAGATATTTTTACTGACTTGTTATCTTCAGTCGAATGAAATTCTGAAACCAGGATAATTTAGTTTCTTTAATGGAGATTCGCTTACATTGTATTAAATACACAGTCCGTTGATTCTGCCCCAGCAGCGTCCAAAAGTTTGCTAAACACTAGTAGTTCATTTGATGTTCAAATCCTCGCGAACGAACTAGCTGCATGGACGTTTTCATAGTTTTCCCTTAAGTGTGCAGGTAACGTGCGAAAGAGGCAGTTCCCCTTAGAAAATTTTCCGCGAATGCCTCTCTCTCCTTAGTCAGTGAGTGCTTGAGTGCTTTGACATAATCAGGTAAACCAGACCAAACAAAACTATTGACTATACATATATATGATCACCTATCATCTTGAACGAAATCTTTCAAAGAGATTCCTTTTCATCACTCACATTGTGATTGAATTTTATATTTACAGCACTAAGAGACTAATTTAACAACAAGCGTCGAATGTTTACGTTTCAGAGATTGATTTAACCATGACAAAGTGAAATTCCGCCTTTTAAATAAAAATGATGCTTTGTTTATTATCTCTTAGAGAAGTTAATTTAATAACCCCTGATAGAGATGTAACTAATTTTCTTTTATACTAATTCACATCTTTTTGCTTTGTCTACAGATAAAATGCCAGAACAAATTTTGTTTATGCTCTTAGATGAAATAAAAAAGAACGAGAGCAAAAGGTCAAGTAAAACATAGACAAAAGAAGTAAAATATATTTAACTTTTGTTAGAAGTTTTCCGTAAACCTTTTAACAAAACGTATTTTATTAAATATAATTTTTTATTTCACCTTTTCTCTAACTTTTCTTTAAACAAAAATTTCAATAGAACATTGGAAAAACGAAATTACTAATTCTTTTTTCGAACGTAAGCTAGCAAATTGGATTTGTTGAATTTAGTTTCTAAGTAAATACATGGCTGAAAAATTTTCTCTTTGCGCTTAAGTCTACATAAATTTCGAAAACAAAAGAAGAAAATGTATGAAATTATAGGCAATTTTTCATATTTGAATGTACGCTTTTGCATATTCTCTTAAATCCTGCGGAGGTAATGTTCGAATGGCAGTATTTTTATTATTAAAGTTTGAATACTTTTCGTAACCTTTGAAATAAAATTAATAACAAAAAATGTAAATTTTAAATTGACGACTTGAATTTATTTAGAAATATTTACAACCCAGTTAAAAGTTAATTATTTTTGTATGCATTCTTTTGCTGTACTGTAAATTCTAACTGCCTTCATAGAAAATTATGATTATTTTTTGTTTTTAAAACTGATTCTAAAATTTGTACTTGTGGGATTTTACTAAAATCAAAGAAACGAAAGTGCTTTTCTGAAAATAACAGCAACGAAATTTCCACAGCAATATAAGCAAAAAACACCCTTTGTAACCAGGTTTACTGCCTGTTGAAATTTAAAATATCTGTGTAAGTATATGTAATTTTTTAGAATAAAAGGTTCGAAGGCATTTCTCATGCTTTCTTAGCATACCTTCTGGTTGTAGGGTCGCAACTCGGGCGGATTCGAGAGGTAGTGGGTTGAGTCCGGAGGGCATTGCTCCTTTTACTCCCTGCTTATAAATAACCTAACGTCTCTACAGTGGCGACTGAACTAAAAGGTGGTGCATGATGATTCTTCACCACAAGGATTTGGCGATTGGGTCTCCTAAAACCCCAGTCACCCTTTAAAGGGAAGTATATAAGGTATTTCTCCCGCCTCTTAGCATGCCTTTGTGGTGTAGTGGTCAGCACACTCGGCGCGTATTCGAGAGGTCCGTGGTTTTAATTCCGGCGAGGGCATCGCTCATTTTTCACTTCTTCTGCTTTCAAAAAATACCTTATGCCTCTACAAGGCAGTTGTTCTTTCCTCCCGTAAAATTCGCTGTGAATTCCGTAAAATTTGCTTTTGTCAAACTGCGTCAAAGTGATTGTGATAATACGTAAGTACTGTTATTTATTAGTTCTTGTTAAAAAAAATAGAAATATTCCTGAAAGACTCCTTCTTTTTCTCTGAGATATAATGTGAATTTAGCTAGTTTTCCACAGAAAATTTTCCATTCATCGCATAGATAAACTTTAGGTTATACTCCTCGCGTTATTTTCTCTAAACGTATTCAGGAATCCTACAAATTTTCACTGATATTTATTTCATTGCTGATGATGATGTCGTGTCAATGACAAAGTGCAGTTACATAGCTCCGAAGCTGTCAAAAACAGCTTTCGCAACCTCGGCAGCTCTATCAGTATAAAATAGGTCCACTGGGTCTTCAATGCCGATGTTAAACAATCTAGCCTAAATTGCTCAGCAGCTGAAGATATGATGGCGAGACAGTGGGATGTCATCTACGCAATGAGGACGAATGTGGTTTTGTTTTAACTACGCTGTCCGTTTGCACAAATCCTCAACCCTTAAGTCATTTGTAAAAAGTCTAGTTATGATAGTCGTATGGCTCTTCACAGTTCAATTCCGGGATGAGTTTCTTAAACTTGTTTAGTCTTGGTGGCAACTGCATTGGCATCAACGAGGGTTAGGCAGTTAGGTGGCTGAGGAGAATCACGGGATGCATTTGCAAAGCTCATCGGGTTCTCATCAAAAAATTACATGAGCCTGGTATCATGTAAGATGCAGGATCTTGGGCGCAATGATTTTGTTGTGAGTCAATGATCTGATGACTGAGTTGACATTTGCCCTTCTGGATCTGCAATGCTGATCTGCAATCAGAGAAGGTGATGATGCCCTTGGAACTCTGGCTTCTTTAGAGAGATAAATCTCCAGAGCACTTTTGATGGCTAAAGCTGCATGTATAGTGGAGGCGATTTTCCCAACAGGAATACTGTGGCATTTCTGCACTCCGTCTGGTCCGATGAAAAAGACTCCCGCTCCTCCTCTGTTCCATTTCATTGCTAATGCAGTATTTTGACCACTGGGTAAGCAACTGTGAAGACTTTTAGCTTTACGGGACCATGTTATTTACATTTTATAATATTGCAGTAAAAATTTGATTTTGATCTGTCCAAAATTTTGACATATACTTGACATACATTGACAGTACTTCGTATAAATATTAATAGAAATTTTGATGATATTTACATACAATTTAGGCTGCATAATGTAGAATATAAATGAAGACTTAAATACAAAATTCTGATTATATACACAATGAATAATATAAGATTTTGATCATATGCTGAAATGTAATAATAGTTCACAGTTCATAAATAGATAATAATTCATAAATGGTTCACTTTTCATAAACGTTCACAGTTCATAAGTCTGTAAAAGTTTATTTGCCATATAAATTTAATAATTATTCTGAAGTAAGTTCTAGATACAGCTCTGGTAAATTTTATAGTTAGTCTGGAGTAAGTTTCATTGTTTGTACATTGAAGTTATGCTGTTTTGATATGATGATGATTACTTTGAATTAATGCTGATGTGGAATTATGATGCCTTAATTTATGCTGCTTTTAGATTATCATAATTTTCTATGAGATATTCCATTAAATTTCGAACTTTTTTACGAACAGATTTACTTCTGAGTAGTTTGAACCATCCTTGAGCATTTTCATTTGTGAAAGTACGAAAGTGGAGGTCTGTAGTGATTGCACATTCAAACAGGGTAATGATCTATTGTTCGTGTTGATTCACATATGGACTGTATGATACAAGCCGAAAATGATATGAAATTTTTCTTCCTATATTATCGTGTGACCACATGAGTTTCCATTGAGAAATTAAATTAAATTAATTTTAAAAGTGATATTGGATTTGGGGATTAGGTTATTGCTTTCGTAGAACTATTTGCTTCTTCTTTTGCCATTTCGTTGCCTAGTGTTCCTTATATGGGCACGTGTCCAGAGTAGTTTAGGTTTTCGTCCTGTTGGAAAATATGTAAGTAAATATTACATATCTTGAACTAAAAGAGAGTTACTATGACCAGCTATTGCTTGTTTAACTTGTTTTTTCCTTAATAATAAACTTTTTATAATAATAAATTTGCTTTTTTTTCTTGCGAAATACAGGTACAGGGCAGAAAAACGCAAGCGAGGAAAAATAATTTCCCAATAGGCTGTTGCTTCAAAATAGGCTCATCAAGGCCGCCTCCAACCCTCCTTCTGCTATCGTAATTTGGGTCGTCTTCACCTCAGAAGTTATTTTTCTTCACCCGATGTGAGACTACAATTCAAGTCAGACTTCATTTACGTGCTTAACACGGAATGAAACATGCTAGAGCTGAAAAATTAAACCACTCGACATTTTTCTCGCAGCATTGTAACAAGTTAAATCGGTCAGAAGAAAGTAACCTTGAAGTTTTTATTTATGAAGTTTATGCCACACCAACATTGTACATTTACAAACATCCAGGCATTTTCCGGGATTCGAACCCGGGCCCTTTGGCACGGCAGTCAGCGGCGCTAACCACTGTTGGGCGGCTTTGTAGGGATTTGTTATATTTATCTGTACAGAAAATGTAAAAACACAATTAAATCCTCCAGGGATTCGGGCTGTAGATCTTATAATTAATTGATGAAAGGCTAAGCACTTACACTACTACAGTACAGAAGAAAGAGTGTAATAATTCTCTACAGTCTTTCCCACACAAAGGGCGACTGAAACCTGGTTGGCCAAATCCAGGCATGATAGTCCACTACAAATTTATTTCGAGTGACAGTTTGAAGAGCAAGAAGCAGGAAACTGTAATTGTACCTTCGTCCGAATTTGAACCACGGCTCTTCGGCTTGCTAGCACCATTTATTAGAAAAGAACAAGTACGGTGGAATAGGATAACACACTTTTACAACATAATCAAATTTTACTCAGACCGATTTTCTTCTGAACTCTGTCTTATATTTCTCAAACTATCTAAACGTGTACATGAACTACAATAAAGACAAATTC